TTTGCTAAGGTTTCTTCGCAGATACGGTGGATAGATTTCAGCTACCGGATTCAGCAAGCTGGACAATTTTTATGCGGGTTAGTCCATTTTACATCATACTACGGATACGGGCTGTGCTTCCCATGATTATACAAATCCGCATTATCACTGATAACACAGTGCTAGCGATATTCGTTTTCACTGTAACAAAAGAAATGCTTAATAAATCAAACCGCAACGCACGAGGCTTGCCAGTGCTATCGTGCATTTTGGCTCTAAACTTGTAACAGTCAGATTGCTAACAGCAAATATGATCCCTGTGTTATGGTTTAATACGTCGGCTCATGCTAGCTGTGTTTTGGCCGTTTCCTGCATGAAGAGGAAAGTGCGATGGTTAGAATAGCAGTGTTACATTACGAGGCCGCGTGAACCTCCAGCATGCACGATTTTCAGTTTTGCAGAAGTTCAAACATTTTCCCGAGGGCAGTTATTCATTGAAAAATACAAACTGCCGGTGCTATCATGCATGATAGCAACGACAATTTGCATAAGATGTCGAGAAAGAATTACGAAATCCGCAAAATGTATTCGCTTGTGAGGTTGCGATAAAACTGAGTATTTGTCATTTCCTCTGTGCGAGGGCCTTCACTTCCGAGCTGAATTAAGGATACAGATAAGTAGAGAATACCTGTAAAGTTTCAGCTTTGCAACCTGTCAGTTATGTGAAATCACCTCTCCGCGACACATATCTTTGATACTCCCAAAGGCATGGCCCAAGCGCAGTTCGGAACTCCATTTAGGTGTTAGGTTTCCTAGATGAACGATAAATATTCCGACAAAATTTCAGCTGCTGTTTTCATTCTAGTTTTCGAGTTGACACAATGTCAACTATGAACTTTGACGTGATCGTCCGTGCGGTACAAGCTTGCGTGATAGCTGAATTTGAAATATTTAGCTCACACATGCACAGAAAATATCCCTGGAAAGTTGCAGCTCTCTATCTTACCTGGTTCCTGAGATCGCCTTCCCGCCAAAAAATTTGTATATTTTTTGAAGCGCACCTACGTGGGAT